CATCATCATCATCATGTATCACCACCATCCGCATCATGCACATCATCATCATCATCATGTATCACCACCATCCGCATCATGCACATCATCATCATTATCATCATCATCATGTATCACCATTAACATCATTATTATGGATCATCATCATGCATCATCATCATGCAATATCCATCATCATCATCACTCTCGTCGTCATCATCATTGACGTCCTTATCGATGCCGAAAAACGTTTCATTGTTTTTTTAGATACTTCTTGGAGCGTTCTAACAGCGCACGTCTGACCCTCGCCAAGGCCTGTGAATTGTGCCCCGAAGAGGTAAGAAAGTTATTATTCAAACAGTAGAAAACAAAGACATTAGTTTGATAAAACGTTGGAAAACTTATTCTAATTCTGAAACACAGGAACCAGAAGAAGAAGCAGAACATGAAGTGTCACCGGATGAATCCCAAGACCAGCCCCTTGATGAACAGGAACCGATATCTAAACCACAGCAGCCTTCTAATGAGGATCCTCCACCTTTTTCTGGTGACCCGCCTCCCCCTCCCGACGATGCAGCCCCTCCAACTGAAGAAGTGGTCGACGAGGAGAAGTCACCTAAAGAAATGCCAAATAATGAAGTGACGGATTAAAGATTGCTTGTGTATGACCCATTAAGTCTGTCCATCCGACCTTGCCTCTTGTCTTAGATGAATACCAATAAATAACTCATGATTGACAGCAAGAGGCAAAAAAGCCAATTAGAGAATAGCACATCCTTATATGGTCATCACAAAATCCAAGGCATTTGATTGGATGAACGAGAGGGGGATCCGAAAGTTATCCGATACACACGATATATTTCAAATGACAACTTTATGAAAATTCTGAAAATCTATAATTTATTTTATTTAATATCAGAAGCTTCACAAGAGTTGTATGCTATTATCTATAGAACCACGTACTAGGTAATAGATAATAGCAGACTGATGATAGCATCGTAGAGTATACAAGGGTGGGCTGAAGGGACTTTGATTTTCTAGAGAAATTTAGCTAAGTTTTTGATCGTTGTAAATTCATTATAAAAGGTCAAACCGTAAATTTCTGTTTTGACTAAGCACACAAACTCACAAGGGGGTTAAGTCCCTTATAAGTTTCTGCTAAGCACGTGTATTGTAATATCATATAGATCATAGGATAATATCGTTCAGCTATTGTTACATCCTGCAGTAAGCAGGCTTCTTATCAGTAGGAAACAAAAACGAAGCGCTGTGATTGGATGATTTGTGCCTTGAGTTTTGATTGGCTAAGAGCGGAAGCCATTCAAGAGCGTTTCATGTTTCCTACTCGTACGAAAACGTGTATAAAATTGAGAAAACGATGAAAATTTGTCTGATCGATGGATTTTTTGTAGCAAAGTAAATGAATGTGACATAAAAACTTATTATTCGAAGATAATCTCTTGTTTAAACCAGTAATTACTTCAGCTTCTTACCAGCTTCTTTTCATAACTTATCAAAGAGCCTGTGAACCAGTTGGTAAGTTGTCTGTATCAATACTAAATAGTTTTGGAGTAAACTGCGTATAAATGTTAAGAACTGGGCCTTGACGGCAGCGTGTTTGAGCATTCTAATTGGATGAAGAATGATTGACCTCGCACTCTGATTGGTTGGACGGTTGTCGTGACTTCCCCACCGTGACCGTGTCGTCCTGTTTCATTTTGTCATGCGAATTGTGCTCGACGCAAATCAAGTTACTTGTTTTGCTGTTAAAGGCTATAGTTTTAGGAAGAATTATTGTGAAAGACTAAAAAATAAGTAAAGATCGAATTGATTATGACCGCGTTAATTTCTTCTCGTTTTGCTTCTCTACCCCACCATAATGCGCTTGCAGATCTGCTTATGTACTTTTTGAAAGACCAGTCCTGGGTATGTCCATATATGTCTGTCTGTGTGAAACTCTTGTTCCACGAATTGGAAAGGTGTTGTTTAACGCCATTGTTAGATGGAGACCCTTTGATAGTTTAATGTAGAAAACGTGTTTCTTAAAAGTAGGTCACCCAGAAAGCTAAAAGGCACACTTTTCTCCTGCAATTTCTGTGATAAGCATTGTAAGTGTCGACTTGAATGAAATAAAGTTTTGTTTAGAATATATAAAGTATTCAGTTCAACCGACCACTGCCTCGGAGGGATTTTTGGAGTATTTTTCAACGTTTTCCCCAAAGCTTTCCGACCGCAGTAGTTCCGGAGTCCCAAGTGGAATCAAAAGAGGAACCTCTACGTGGTATCTGCGGCCCTGATAGAAGCTGCTAGACCTGATTTTTATCACCGTTAGCATCGTCTTTCTTGTCTTCTTTTATTTCAGTTTTCTTTGCTTCTATTTTATTCACTACTTTATCAATATCCGTATCACTGTCACTATCCAAATTTCCTTCAAATTTAACATCTTCTTGGGGCAAGCTGAACGAAAATCTACTGTCTTGATGTGCAATGTCTAGCAGTTTGATTTGGTTTTTGTTTAAGGTTTCTCCACCAGATTTAATTCCTTTGCGAACCCTGTAGCCTCGATACTGTGCTTGTATTTTGACAGCCGCTTCTGATTGGTTGATCTTGATTTTCCTGACCTTGTGCCCGCGATAACCAGCTTGGATGGTTGTTGATGCTTTGTGTTTTGTCTCGAGTTCTTTTCGATCATGATAACCACGATATGCTGCTTGGATTTTAACAGACGCTCCCTTTTTCATTTTCAGTTCTTTTCTATCTTTATAGCCTCTATAACCAGCTTGTATCTTACTAGAAGCCTTATTTTGGCGCGCTATTTCTTTTCGGTCCCGGTATCCCCTGTACCCTGCCTGTATTCTCTTTGCTGCCTCCTCTTTGTCGGGCAGTTTTTCATGCAACTTTTCTCCATTACAGTGACTACTAGAAAGAGAAGTGCCAAGAATCTTCTTCATACTACTTTGACTTCCTCTTCCTTTCCTCACCTGGTAACCTCTGAACCTTGCCTGGATCTTATTCGCCGCTTCGTTCTCATCTTCAATCTTAGCTTGCCTCGTATTTTCTCCATTCGTCTTTGTCCCTTTTCTCGCTTGATAACCTCGGAATCCTGCTTGAATTTTGGTCGCCGCTACGTTCTCATCCTGAAACCCAGTTTGTCTTGTTTGGTATTCTTTTCCAGTTTCCTCATGATCTTGTCCAGCTGTCTCTTTACCTCTCCTCACTCGCTGTCCTCTGAATCCTGCTTGAATTTTACTCGCAGCCTCGTTTTTATTCTTGATGTCTTTACGACACGCGTAACCACGGTAACCAGCTTGAATTTTCTCCGCTGAACGGTTTTGAAGCTCGATTTCCTGGCGCACCTTGTAGCCATGGAAACCAGCCTGAATTTTTAACGCAGCCTCGTCTTCGCTCAAAGTCGTTGCAGATGTGGGAGGAGGTTGAACACTAGTGCTCTTCAAGCTATCTTGTACCGTCATGTCAAGCAATTTGTTGGTGTTTTCAGGTCTGTTTGGTTCGTAGTGGTAAAACCCGTCAATTTGTGAACCAAGAAGACATTCATCGTAACCTCTCTCTGAAATAAAACAAATGATAGAATTGAAAAATGAAAAATGCGCAATCTTAACGCAACGAAGTGCAATAATTGTGCAAAGTGCAGTGCAACACTTTCAGCTAGGCTTTTAACTGATCCTACACGACTTATCCACTCTGATTCAGGTCACTGCTATACGTTCATCCTATCAAGGCAGGTGCGTTTTTACATTCCTATACGTTCATGCAATCTCAATCAGGCATATTCTTAAAGCGCAATTACATGGATTACATCATTTCTTTGCAATTTGTCTCACAACAGCGTTTAAAGGGTGCAACGGAGACGCAATCGTTTCGAAAAGTAGAAACTATAATCCTATTTTTCGCAACAATTACTGCCACTTGTTTAACAACATTTTTTTCCAAATTACACCGTCGGTTACACGCTGCAATACTATGCAACTTGTGTCGCAACGCCGTTGCAAGGCAAGTTGCAGAGAAAATTGCTCCTAGTAATCGCGCCTTTATTCCCATACGTTCTTCCAATCCATTTCAAGAATATTCTTATTCCCATACGTTCAGCCAATCCTTTCCAGGTGGATTCTTATTCCCATACGTTTATTCATTAAATCCATTATAGATACATTCTTATTCCTATACGCTGATCCTATCTGACTCAGGCCAATTATTATTCCAATTCTATTTCCATTCTGCTAGGACTTAAGTACTGAAAGGCTTTCCTTTATATTACTTCAATCCCGCCTGATCTTAATTACACCAGATCTAGGACACAAAATAAAAAAGCTCTCGAAATTAAGCAGATGACAAATTGGATAAAAGCGGAAACGAGATAAACCCTAAATTAAAAAATTTTTAAATGAAAGCAATGGTAGTAAAATTATCATAAAATATTTCAGCCAAATTTGCAAGTGATGTACAAAACAAATTGCTATTCATGTAAGTACGGTAGCTAGTCTTCACTGTGATTTGAATCTCAATGAGAACTCAAAATTACCAAAATTAAAAAAAAAATTAGGTGTCAGAAACCGGTCGGTTATTAAAAAATAAGACTAAAAAGAATTTTTTCCGATAAAAATTTGCTCGATAAAGCACAATTACCATTATTTAACACTAATAATTGCCAAACTGAGAATGAATCCAAAATCTCGACCGTCATCGGTACGAAATCTAAAGTCCTGATTATGAAACACTGAAAGGAATCGTTAATTATTATTATTTGCATTCGTGTTGTATTTTTTCAGTAAAGATTGAAGGTAACAAGTTGTACGTAAAGAGAACGATTCATCATTTCACTGACGGCTTACTGACCCTGTTTGAACATGATTAGCTCATGATGACAAAACCGTGATGTTGATCACAAATATCGACTTGGTTCGCTTCAAAACGCCAGATAAAACTAACTCCACAGTCTAATTGTTGTATAAATATGACCAGAGATCAGCGTTTTGATTTTAAATTTCCAATTCGGTAAAGCTCAAATATCGATCAAGTGGAGAAAATAAGCCGTGAAGAGAGAGTTAAACAGTACTGTTCACATCGTCACCTACTTCCAGAGAGGATGAAAAGAGTTGACATTAAATATTTTAAAATCTCCTAATCATGATACTGAAAAAGCTGGCCAATATTCTCAACGAATATCAAAGTTATAGCTAAAATGAATAAGAGTATATTCGTTAGTTTGTAAGTGTTTGACTACCTTGTCGTAAGACGAGTCTCTCTTTGAAATACTCTGCTGCAAATTTTGGTATGTTTGTAGGTTTTACTCGCAGCACTTCGAGTGTTAAGCCCTCAAGAAGATTTCTAAAGCCTTTGGGGACATCCAGTTTTGCCCTGTTATTAAATGCCATGTTTATAGGGGCTAGAGATTATCGAGGCTCAGGTTTGTTTTGGTGTTGAGCTTCGGCTTCGCGTTGCTTGGGAATCAGGTTTTTCTTATGGGCTGTTATCTTTATTAATGAGCCTATCGCTCTCACTGTGTCAACAATTTAAAGGGCTTTGCTTTATGATGACCAACATTCCTAAATCACCAAGGCTGAAATTAGACCACTGTACTATATTATTGATATCTAAAAACCTCACACTATGTAACCAACTACCATATGTCAACATGTATGACATACTGTTTAAGATATATATAAAGTGATCGGTTTGTTTGTTTTTGTTTTTTCTTTCTAACCATTTATGTATAATGAAATATTTGCAGACATGTAAAAATGTACTGCGTGATGAAAATTGAATATTTTAATAAATATTTTTTGAGCGCTTCTTCGAAAGAGATTTTCTGTCTTGCTATCTAACTCAAGGAAGGCCTGCATGCTTAGTAAAAACTTGAGAGGTCCGACTTGCGAGGTCTGGCGCACTCCACAGTATTATAATAGGAATATATGGCGCTCCAGGGACTGAGGGTCGTATCCACTGTTTGGATAGTGGTCGTAAAAATTAGTCCGGTTAAAAACCGGCGTCCAGAGGGTTCTAGGTAATCGGTGGGAGGGGGAGGGGGTTGGGGCGGATAGTCACTTTTAAAATGCTGCATGTCGACATGTATTTTCGTGATATGAAAAATAACTATTTATAACTGAAGTCTTGTTTGTACTATGTTATTAGCTTCTCATAGGTTCCGTATTTTGGACTCAATTTCGGAGAGTTACATAGGTTAAACGGTCCGCGGCGTCTTTCATCACACAATTGAACATTAATTCCTGAAGAAAGTAACGCATCAGTGTTTTTGATGCGGCAAAACGAAAGCAAAATTTTTGAATATCACTCTGGCTGACCTCTAATCGTAGAATATCTCGTCCTTTTCGCCTGTTTCTGCACTGTTCCTCCTATATATATTTTGCACAAGCCCCCAAACCGTACCGTGGAGGGAGGGGAAAGGGCTGGCCAATAAGAAGCAAATTATTTGATGCCGAGTAACACATACTGCTGAACCTGGTTAGAAAAATACCTTGACAGTGGAATAGTAATATTTTAATAACTTATTTTCAATAAGGATAGACAGAACACTTGGTTATATATACGCTTGATTGCAAAAAGGTTATATATATATCTAATGAGATGCAAGATATCAAATGAGATGCAGAATGTTAAAAAGTAGCTTACTTGGTATTATTTATCTTCTATTATATATCAGAGACATAAGTGTTGCACAAAGTCAAGTTAAAAAGTTTTTTCCACAAAATGTAGTGGCTAAGCAATCGTATTTAAGCATGTTTTACATTCTGCATC